AGCCCTGGTCATGCCGGGCCCTGGTCACTCCAGGGAGCCCCTCGGGGCAGCCTCACTGACATGCCCAGAGCCTCGGGGTCGGCTGTGGCCGCAGCCCCCGCACAGCCCAGGGGCCCTTCTCTGCCCAGGGCCCCGCTGGTGCTCAGGGAGCCCAGGGGAGGCACAGGGCACCACGGCTCAGCCTCGAGCAGAGGGGCCCCTGCACCCCCTCAGCCATCACGAGTGTCATCTCCCGCAGGTCCCACCGGGGCTCCCACCACCCACTCACCTGTCACCCCGGTGGCAGAGGCGGGGCCCTGGCGCTGGCCGTCGTGGAAGCCATACAGGTGCATCTTGTACTTGTGGTCCGGCTCCAGGCCCGAGATGGTGACCCCGTCCTCGTGTCCCGGCACCCGGACCGCCTTGGGCTGCCCGTCCCCGTTCTTGTACTGGACCAGGAAGTGGTCAAACTGGCCCTGGGGGACGGTCCAGGAGAGGCTCAGCGAGTCCGGGGAGGATCCCGTCACGGTCAGCTCCCCCAGCAGGGGCTCCTCGGGAGGCTGTGGGGCCTCCGTGCTGGGTTCTGTGGAGCTCGGGGTCTCCTCCACTACCTCCTGGGCGGCTGAGAAAACAGATGGGGGACAGGCTTTAAGGGCGACGTGCTTTGCTGGTAACGTGAAACATGGTGATCAGGCCCATCCGGCAAACACTCTCTCGAGCTGTAGGCCAGTGGTTTGTGTGGCCTTTGTGAGCCACCCAGTGGCTGGGCCCTGAGACAGGCTGAGGTCCCCGGCTCCCACCCCGCAGTGCGGACAACTCGCTGGTGGGGCAGTGGGCTGGGTCCCTCGTGTCTGAGAAAGGAGCTGGTCGGGAAGACACCCTCGGTCTGTCCCAAGGTCACCGCCAGTGTTGACATCATGTACTGAGGGGCGGTGAGCCTCTCCCACCTGCCATCTCCCTTTCGGCTCCTGCGGCCCCAGTGCTGCCCGGGCCCACCCAGGAGCAGGCAAGAGATGGAATGTGCCCTGGCTGAGGGCTCCCCGGGGCCCTGCCCTCCCTCCCCTTTGACCCTTGGAATGAGTTGCTAGGCAGGACTTGAGGCAAAAGTGGGAGAGAGATTTGGGGCTGGGGAATGTCCTGCTCTCCCCTGGTTGTGTCTAGAATCGCAGCCCCAGGGCACCGACCCAGGTCAGCTGCCCTTAGGTCTTTGCCGGGGCTCCATGGACTGGGGAGACTGGACAAGGGCAGCCAGCCCTTCTGTGACCCACGCCCAGTCCAGGGGGAACACTTAGGGGAAGTAGATGCAGGAGGGAGGAGGCAAGAATGGGAACCCAGGTGAGGATGGGGAAGGCACAGATGAGGAGCGGGGAAAGGATACTGGCAAGTCAGGGGGTCAGGGAGACAGAGCAGCTGCCCCGAGACGGTCTCAGTTGCTCGCACTGTTCTGCGTGCGGGATGGACCCTACCACTGTGTGAGCAGCTCCCGTTAGCATCCCCGCCTGACAGGTGAGAAAGCGGAGGCACGACGGCTCAGTAACCTGCACAGGGTCCCAGAGGTCATATGGGAGAGCTGGGGTCAAAAGCCATGCCCCAACCATGAGGCCCCAACCACAGAAATGCGCCGGCTGGGGAGGCGGGCACGTGGGACCTGCTGGGGGCCAGTGGCCCTCCCCCGCTCCACGCTGGCTGGGGGTCAGGGGCGTCCTCCCCATGCTGGCAGGCAGGCAGGGCGGTGCTCTCGTCCCTTGGATCTGCCAGCTCTGAACAGCAGCAGGGGCGTCAGGGTGTGGGCAGAAGTGAAAGCTCAGAGACACGGCCCAAGCAGGTCCCGGAAGGGGAGGCCCTGCCCACACCCAGGGCAAGAACAGTGGCTGAGGACCAGGTGGGCAGGGGCAGGGGCTGGGAGAGGGGGCTGTTCTTGCAGGTGGAGAAGCAGGGCCACGCCAGGGGGCGGGGGGGCGGGGGGCCTGGGACGTGGGAGAGAAGAGGCGGAGGCTTGGCGGAACCGGGGCTGAGAAAAAGAAGGTGGAGGGAGGTGTGTAGGGCCCTGGGCCACGTCCCTGGTTCTGCTCAGAGGACGGGGCTGGGGTGAGGCGGGCTGGGGGCTGCAGCCCTAACTCACCCGTGGTGGCCACCACAGACACAGGCCCCACACGCTGCCGGCCATGGAGGCCGTAGAGGGTCATTTTATACTTCCGGCCGGGTTCCAGGCCAGCGATGGTGGCCGTGCTCTCCTCTCCCTTGACAGGCACTGCCCGGGGCTGCCCCTGTGCATCCTTGTACTGGATCACGAAGGAGGAGAAGCGGCCCCGGGCCACGGTCCAGGACAGGCGCAGGGCGTCTGGGGTGGCGCCAGTCACTGTCAGCTCCCCCAGCAGCGGCTGCTCAGGGGGCTCTGGGCGGGGCTCCTCTGTCCTCTCTGGGGCTGTAAGTTAGAGACCCAGCCAGGGCTGAAGTGCCTGGGGAGCAGCGGAGGGTTGGACGGCCCAGCGTGGGGGAGGGGGGGCTGAGGAGAGGGGCAGGGATGGGGCCAGCCTTCCCGGGGAGGCCCCGCCAGGGCCTGGCTGAGGGGAGTGTGTGGAAGGGGGGCTGGGAGGGTCGCAGGTGCTGCCACTCACCAGTGGTGCCCTCAGCTGAGAGGGGGCCGTGCCGCTTCTTGTTGGCAACCCCAAACAGAGTGAATCTGTACTTGTGGTCGGCATCCAGGGGGGAGACAGTGACGGAGCGCTCCGGCCCTTCCACGGGCACCACCTGGGGCCGCCCATCCCTGTCCCTGTACTGAACCACGAAGGAGTCGAAGTGGCCCTCGGGGACCGTCCAGGAGAGGCGCAGCGAGTGTGGGGTGGGCTCCGTCACCCACAGCGTGCCCAGGCGGGGCAGGGTCTCTGGGCTGGGATCGCTCCGAGGCACTGGGGGAGGGAGCACAGAGAATGGGGGACACAGAGGAGAGGCTGCGTGAGGCTGGGCCTGCTGGGGACATACTGACGGGCAGGCCCAGCCACACTCCGCCTGCCAAGCTGTGTGCCGCCACGGGCTGTGCCCACCGGGAGGAAGGGCACCTTCTCCTGAACCAGGGGCCGGTGTGGCTCCAGCTGGGGAGGGGCCTCAGAGGCGAGGGGGCCCTGGAGCGCTTTGCCCGTCTCATGGCCAAGGGGGTGCTGCAGGGCTGCCCCCTGCTTCCAGCTTCACTACTATTCACTGGCTGGTTTCTCAGGCGGGGGGGCACCATTCGTGGAGCGAATGGATGTGGGAGAGCCTCCCACACCCGTGCCCTGGGCCCCACATCCTCCTCTCCTGCCCTCCTCCACTTGTCTGCCCCCCACTCCCCACCCCACGCTCTGTTCCCAGCACAGATTCCAGAAAGAGAGGTCTACCCCGGTGGTAGCCCTGCCTGCACCTCCAGCCCCCCAGCTCTCCCAAGGGCAGTGCTGAGCCCCCCCAATGCCCCAG